CTTACTCTTTAATTTCAACTGGTTGATGTACATACTGCACTATTTATTAGTTCAGTGCAACACCATAATGGTTTCAGCATTGTGAAACAAAGATCTAGTGCTTCAATATCCAAACATTAACCATGATTTTACAGCAGAAATATTATCAAATCATATCAACAGTACTGTGGCAGTAATATGGGATCTTCATAATATTTTTTTTCTTATGAAAACGCATTTAGGAGTAACAGAATACAATTATTAATAAATTCAAAGTTTTGTCTTTAAGCTCATAATTTTTATAGAACAAATACTACAGAAATTGAGATATACAAAATATAAAGCTATTACAATGTCAAAGCAGTCATTTCTGAAAGTCTATTTTTTAGCAGTGCATTTGTCAATATTAAGCTGAAATGGGGAAAATGTTCTGTCATGCTCAACCTAAAACTTCTGCTTGCGCTCACAACTTTTGTTATGTATGTGATATGTGACTAGCTTCAGTTCTCTTAGAGGAAAGTTCTAGTCTGGAGAACTGACCCTGAGAGAATTAGATATGCTAACATGCTAACTTTCTATTGAGAAGTGGGCAGGAAAAGAGATCAGAAACCTGCAATTATCATACATTTTGTTTTTCTCATGCGGTCTGTGAAAACTCCAAAATCTTCTAAAGTTTGTTTCTCAAGTTTGTTTGCATAAAGGTACATAGTACCTTTAATGTTTGTGTACATTTAGTGTCCAGCCACAAAGTTAGAAGATTCTTCCACCTGTGTGACCTCTGACTTCGCTTCACTAAACTTAGAAACAAACTATTAATTTACTTGTATCGGAAGGGAGTGAAACACACCCAGCTCCATAGTCCTATTAATAAAGTCTTTTTGACACAGCACTGCAGATGGCCAGCACTCTCTATAAATAATGCTTTATCTGGGCCACGAGCCGAGAGACAGCCACTTCATGTGTACAAGAGATGCTAAAACTCCACCACATGAGGAGATGAAGCTATACCTGACGGCTCACATGAGCTGTAAAGGTACAAAAGAAATCCAGAGGAGCTCCATGTGATGGGTCTGAGCTGCCAAGATGTAGTTTATATTGCTGCCAAGGTATAATAGATTGATAATCCACTGCCAAAGACATGAGGTGGCCTATAGCCAGGAGCAGCTCTGGATTCAATGTTCTGATAAGATAATATACCTCCTCAATATCACTCTAGAGACTTCAGAGAGCAGATGTGCAGTGCCAATGACTGACAACAGTGCAGATTTGATCTTTACAAGTGTTAAAAAGCTCCACAGGGTAATTCAAGATGCTAACCGGCTTGCTACAAGAAGCAAACACTCTGATTTCCAAATAAATTGAGACCTAAACACTGATTCAAATGTTGCAAAGAGTGTTAGTAATATGATTAATATGGCTAAATTTGAGTATTAGCCTAAAGAAAGACTTTTTCATGACTGTTAAGCTCACAAATAAAATACAATGTAATGGTAAAAAGTATAACCGTTCAGCAGAGATTTAGGGCAGAAAGAGAAAAAGAGAAGAGCCAAAGGGAGGGGGTGACAGACTGAATACAAACCTAAACCCAACCCATTGGATGAACTACTTAAGACTTGTGGGGCCCCACATTCTCACCATCTCTCCTTTTCTCAGAGAATCCGTCACTGCAGTTTCAGGGCTAAATATCAACTATTACTCATAAACCCTCCCTGTGAAAGGCTTCCTTCAGATAACCAGCAACAATCTTATGTCCCTCTAAAACGCAAAGAAATGCGGAAGGTAAAGATAAGATAAACTGTTGCAAATTCATCGATAATAGCTTTAGCACAATAGCATAGATAATAGCTGACTTGACCTCTTCAAAACATGTTGGCAAGTCACTCAGCTCCAGGATTTGGAAAGTAATGGTTATCATAAGCTGCACAATGCTGATTCACTGTAAGATTATGTAATATTGCTCTACCCTTGGCCTACTTGGTTGTTTTCCTCTATCATAAGAAATGAAAGATTGTGCAAAAATCACACACAGCCACAGGACTGAATGTACACATGTGAGAGACATTATGCAGCAATGTTTTTTTTTTCCAAGCTCACATGTAGTTCCACTCTTGCCAAGACCTGTAAAGTAGGCTACAAACTAGGTCACAGAGTTCTGTTTCTGTTTCAGAAATTTGAATACTTTATCAAAAAATAAATACATTGGGCCACTTCTCTCATTGTATAACACATTTTACACAGCAGTCTGTTCTGGTTTGATTTGTCAAGCAGTCTGAGTACTGATATGTATGTCATACTGCCTTCAAGTGCACTTGGAAACACCCTACATCCAAGCTAGGCAGTCATTGTTTTCGACATAATTTATGCATTCAATGTACAGAATATTACAAATCTATGAAAAAAAATTAAAGGGTACCTATTTGACCCCTTTTATAAGATGCAAGATAAGCCGTTGGTGTCTCCAGAATATGTCTAAAGTTTCAGCTCAAAACACCCATCAGATTATTTATTATGGCCTACAGAATCTGGCCATTTTGATGTCTGAGTGCATTGTAGCTGTTTTTGTAGCCTGTGGCTTTAAATGCAAATGAGCTGCTTCTCCCCGCCCACCATCATGCATTATGTCAGATAAACAGTGGTCAGTGACAGACTCAGATGAAGCTGAAATACAGCTCATTGGTCAAAAATAGCAAGAAAGTTTGTAGTGGAGTCTATTCAAGCCTTTCTGAAATGATGAGTCACACACAAATGCCGTTTGCAATACACACACTTGCATATACTATAGGAACAGTATAGTGATCAATGTTGGCGGTTTTAAAACCTTGACTTTTCCAAACCATGGTAAACCTTGAAAGTGGTTATCATCACATGCCTACTTCCACGTCACGTTGCAGTGGGCCTCAAAATCACTGGGACTTGGGTCCTATTTAATCGTCAGGAAACTTAAAAAATGAGACTTTTTGTGTTACATCAATATGACAGTGGTCACTCTATACATACAGACAGTTCTGTCCAAACAACTTACAAAAGATGATTTTCATTATAGGTGACCTTTAATTTATATGACTAATTACTCCTATATCATTTTAAATTATATGAATTATTTAAACAGAACAAAAAAAAATCAATTTATTCTACAATCTAGTGCACTACATATGCTTTTATTGAGCCCAGGCAATTCGACCAATAAGATAGATGGAAAAAACTAAATCAAAGCAAAATAGATATTTAGCTGTACCACTCACACAAAGCACTGTAAATAACAACAGAGTCAGTCTCTCAACACTAAAAATACCTCATTATGTGTACTTGAAATATACTGTGTAGTTACTTGCTTCATGGCTTATCTCTATGGGACCAATTAAAGGAATTATTAGTGGGCACTAATTCTCTTTTGTTGATGCAAGGAGAAACTAATGCATTTAAATAATTATGCATGAGTTATATGTACTAGATGCCTTTCTGTGTAGAATTGTCATGTTCTCCCCATGTCTGTGTGGGTTTTCTCCAGGCGCTCTCGTTTCCCCTATAGCCCAAGGACACATGAGATGGGTAAATTGGACAAAACCAAACTGGCAGTAGTTGTGAGTGCGGATGGGAGAGTGTGTGGCTGTTTCCCAGTACTGGGGGTTGATTAAGCTAGTCCACTCTAAAGGCTGGGTTTGAAGCAGGACGGATCTGCTGGTAAAGCCCATGTAAAATAAAACAAATTAAAGTAAAAGGGAATAAGCAGAAATGAGTGGATATATACATAGGCCAAATGGTAATGATGGATGGATGGATGGATGGATGGATGGATGGATGGATGGATGGATGGATGGATGGATGGATGGATGGATGGATGGATGGATGGATGGATGGATGGATGGATAGATAGATAGATAGATAGATAGATAGATAGATAGATAGATAGATAGATAGATAGATAGAAAGAGTGGAGTTGGAGCCAAGTGACTTCAAATACTCGCTGACAAACCAAAAGTTTTGGCTTTAAATAATTACAAATAATAATTTTTAATTAATAATAATTTAATTATTAATAATTTAATTAATAATAATTTAAATATGTTTTAAATAAAACTTATTAAAAGTGATTTACTGAAACTTTTTTATTACAGATTAAATAACATATTTTACTTTTTATTGACAATGCTGTACAAAAGTGCTATTAAAACAGCGCGGGCATTCAGCACAACAGCTCTCACATTTGTGCTATACTAGTTAAATAATTTAATTATATGAGATCTCTGAAGAGACAGAGCCAGACACCGACAGACAAAGGCTATAATGCGAACACGAGCTCTTGGGTTGGTCGAAAAGGAGAAACACCGTTGGAATGTATAAGTTGAGGAGGACTAAATTACTGCAGTGTACTTTTCTCTTATATGTGTAGTTTGGAAAAAAAAGACTACTGGAAGCTCCAGTGTCTCACGGTAAATAACCTTGCGCAGTGTGCAGAGACACCGAAGAAGGCGATGACAGACACCCTATAGCTGCTCCAGGGATGAACAGGTTAGCCTACAGTATGTGCTTCAGGGAAAAGTCAAGGAAAACAGCATAACGGCAGCTGAAGGTACAGGTTTCTCCAGCACTCATAATCTTTCTGCAGGAAGCGATAGCACGGTCACATACCGTTCAAAAAAACAGCTGCTGATAAACATCGCCTCTGGCATACAAACAGCACATCACAACAACACAGCCACAACAGCACAGCTCATTCATAACAGAGCACAATGCATCGACTTTGTTACTGAAATGAATAAAACACGTTAAGAATAAAAGTTGCAGCGAGCTGACTGAAATAAGAGGCAGAGCTTTTAAATGTCCGGGCAACTTCTGATCATTCCCATAATGCATTTGATCCAAAGTCATTATATCAAAAGGGAAAAATATATTATATATCTAACTTATGGTTTCAGGTCACAGTGACTACCTGATGTTCCCCACATCTCTATTGCCAAAACAAACTAGTGTCATTAACGCAGGCTGTAAGCTGTAGACACCATATAACGTTAGGCACTCACCTTCCGCCGTTAATTCTCCTCGGGTGATCTGGAAAACACTTCCCAAAGCCTGCAAAACTAGAACAATCCCCACAAACACATCGAGCGTGCTTGAACCCGCCATGGCAGATAGTATCCACTGAGTCAGATGTCCTCAGTTTCTTTCGCTGTGCCGTCGCCAAAGAGAATGTGAAATAAAGGCAAAGAGCGTGTGGTCAGCGGCTGGTCATTCCCGCTCCGCCGCTCTCCGCCTCAGTGATGCGGGGACTCGCGCTCGTGATAACGCGTTTTCCTACACACCCAAACAAATCCTAACAGAGTTGAAGACCGTCTAGAAAACAGTGCTGTTTGGCTCGCCTCTTATCCCTGCATTCAGCACGAAACCAGGAGGTGTAGATGGCGTCACACATGTAGCACCAATAGTGTCCTGACTCTGACTTGTGAGGGGCTTCGCAGACGTGAAGCGGGTCTGGCGTTCCCGCCGCGGCTTTCATAAACGCGGTTCAACACAAGCATACACTACAAAAAATGTCACTGAACTTTATCTTACAACAGGTATTAAAAGAGTTCCGCTTCAAAATTAACTAGAGATGATAGACTATTCATAACACAATTATTACATTATTTCATTACGATTAGGCTCTGTTTAAGAAATACCACATTATTTAAAAGTCCCTATAGCCAATGTGTGTATGCTATTCCGGTTGAACTGTAAATGCGTTTAATGTGACATTTGACCAATTTAAGGCTTTCTTTAAGAAAACAATGACTAATTTCTTAGCAAATTAACATATTAGACAGCAAATGACAGGCGTTTTCATTTCAGAAGGGTTAAAAATAAATATCTGTGACACTGGATCAGAAAACCATACACATGCTTTTTAAAATTGAGATTTATGCATCACGTGAAAGCTGATAAATAAGCTTTCCATTCATGAATGGTTTGTTAGGATACAATGATATTTGACTGAGATGCTAATCTATTTGAAAATCTGAATTAGAACCACTTTATTAGGTACATCTGTCCAGCTGCTTGTTAACACAAATTTCTAATCAGCCTATTAAATGGTAGTAACTCAGTGCATTTAGGCATAGAACATGGTCAAGACGATCTGCTTCAGTTCAAAGCGAGCATCAGAATGGAGAAGAAAGGGGATTTAAGTGACTTTGAGCGAGGCATGATTGTTAATGCCAGACGGGCTGGTCTGAGTATTTCAGAAACTGCTGATCTACTGGGATTTTCACACACAACCATCACTAGGTTTACAGAGAATGGTCTGAAAATGAGAAAATATCCAGTGAGCGGCAGTTCTGTGAGCACAAATACCTTGATGCCAGAGGTCAGAGGAGAATGGCCAGGCTGGTTCAAGCTGATAAAAAGGCAACAGTACCTCAAATAACCACTCATTACAACTGAAGTATGCAGAAGAGCATCTCTGAACACACAACATGTCCAACCTTAAGTCAAATGGGCTACATTAGCAAAAGACCACACCGGGAGCCACTTCTGTCAGCTAAGAACAGGAAACTAAGCTACAATTTGCACAGGCTCAGAAAAAATTGGACTATAAAAGATTGGAAAAATGTTGCCTGGTCTGATCAGTCTCCATTTCTGCTTCAGCCACAGACATAACAAAAGGGTAGTGTTTTTAAGTGTATTGTAGATTTTTTTTTACATTTTCTCAAAGCATTTTTCCCAAAATATGTATCAAAATAATATTTGTACCAAAAATCATTCTCAAGACTTAAAATCACCTCAGAGTGGATGAAATCATCACCAACAGCACATAAAGGTAAGAGATCGGTGGGCTTGAGACACATTTGATGCAATAACCCTAAATTTCCAATCACAACTTGAAAACATTTATGACTGATCAAGTGCTCTGAATGACAATATTTTTATTTCAAATTAAGAATGTTGTCAGACCTTATTTACACATAATTTACCTTATTTTATATGCATGAGAATTGTGTAGTAAGAGAACTTGTCATGTTCAGTTGCTCTCAGTGTTGATTGCCCTTGATGTTAGCACATTATAAATTTGGTAAAGCCTGTCTCCTCTTAAAAGAGCCTAGAGGCAAGACAGGCAATGGAGGGGGTGAACAGGGGATCATTAATGTTTGGGAATGGCACTGGCAGGCTTTTCCACACCGTCTGCCAAGCGGAGTCCCTCTAGAGGCCCGAGAGGCAGTGAGCTGCGGTTGATCGCTAAACCAGCTCCCTCTGCTCCTTCACATCAGGACAAGCAGCCTAGCAAAAACATTTAAGGATGAAGACTGCTAAAGCCACCACATTAGCATTCCAATTTACACACCCTTATAGTGTCACATCAAGAGCCAAAACACGTAGAAGCGCCCCCCCAAAAACCTGAAAACCTTGATTTATTGAGCTCATGTTAGTATTCCTTGGACAGGGGTTTTGCAAGGTAACCTATTTGTAATTCGGTTGCATAGATGTTATCTAATCTATTCCTCTTTGAAGTTTGAGCTGATGTAAACTAAATATGTCAAAGGCTAAGTATAAACATGCTGTATTAATAAGAGCAGCGCAGAAAGACGCTACATGTGGAATTGTTCGAAAACAGATGATAGCAAATAAGAGCGAAAGAGAAATACGACTGGGTAAATTGAATAAAAAGGTTGAGCATCTGTAGACAAAATTGCAACAAATAATATTTAACAGATTAACATAACTATTTTGTCAAGACTTGAGTTTTTTTTTGGCTTTTTATGTTTTTTTTCTGTCTGATGTACAAATTACAAGTGATTTTTCTTTTGTTGGACTTAAGATTTAAACTGCAATAATATACATTTTAAAGGTGGTTTTCTTGTGATAAGGTTTTTCTCCTGCAATTAGCCATAAATCTCTACTTCAGCAGCACTTCTACCAAACTTTGAAAGTCTTAATAATGTCATTATTAATGTTTTTACAAACAATATATTTAATTTGCTTGTAATACTGTAAATTAGCACATACAGTGTTGTGAAAAAGTGCTTGCCTCTTACTGATTTGCAAGTTTGTCATTTTATATGTTCAGATCGTCAAACTAATTTAAATATTAGTCAAAGTAGTAAGCACAAGTAAGCACATCATGCAGTTTTGAAATGAAGGCTTTTACTAAAATAAAATAAAAAATCAGTAAGGAGGCATATACTTTTTCACACCACAGTATACAATCATATATACTGTATATACAGTTAAAGTCAGAATTATTAGCCCCCCTTTGAATTTATTTATTTTTTACATTTTTCCCAAATGATGTTTAACAGAGCAAGAAAATTTTCACAGTATGTCTGATAATATTTTTTCTTCTGCAGAAAGTCTTATTTGTTTTATTTCAGCTAAAATAAAAGCAGTTTTTTATTTTTTTAAAAGCAATTTTAAGGTCAAAATTATTAGCCCTTTTAAGCTATGTTTTTTCAGTGGTCTACAGAACAAGCCATCCTTATACAATAACTTGCCTAATTACCCTAAACTGCTTAGTTAACCTAATTAACCTAGTTATGCAATTAAATGCCACTTTAAGCTGTATAGAAGTGTCTTGAAAAATATCTAGTCAAATATTATTTACTGTCATCATGACAAAAATAAAAAAAATCCGTTATTAGAAATGAGTTTTCAAAACTATTATGTTTAGAACCCTGTTAAACAGAAAATCAGGGAAAAATAAACAGGAGGGCTAAAATGTAATATACTTCAACTGTATTAATTAATACACAGATAAATATAATCATTCAACTGAGGTAGTATTGTTAAAAATCATTATTTTACCCTATTCACCTACAAATGCAAGCAGTTTACTAATGAAAATAAAAACCAAATCGATGCTCTATCCAGCATGAAGTTAGACTCAATAGAGTTGCATTATTTGACCGTCTTCGAGAAAACATAAAATAAACTTGCCATTTAAGAATGGAATCTATAACAGCCATTTGATTTCTTGAAATTACTTGTGTGCAGTTGATTGATTACATTTTAAAGAGATAATCTGACATGCACTCAATTGTAAACATGTATTTAAAGATAAAATATTGTTATCTGTTGCCACTTGGGGAGAGGAAAAATAATTATCCCGTCAGATGCTAACCCGAGGCTTCCACTTGTTAATAGTTTATTTGACAGAAAGCTTAAGTCTTCTTTCATCACTGAAACACTGCGCAAGCTTGTTTGGCAATCGTTTAGGGGAAATAGTCCACATTAGATAAATTTGACATAATCTCCCTTTGGAAATGTTCTTAGCTGGAAACAACAATACATAAAAATAATTGTATGTATTTTTCTTTTAGAACTACGGTTAAGGTGTTAGGGTGAGCCAAAATTAATAATAAATCATTTGAATTAACATTATATTCAATATGTAATCTTCCATTGTGCAACTAGAAGTCTCTTTCAGTATCAAAATGCAACCAACACTCACATGTCTGTTAAAGGGCATGTAGATATTTGCAATTCTAAAAAAAAAAAATACATTTAGTTTTGTTCTGTTTTCAATTTCAGAGTAAAAAAGCCAAGACTCTGAAGCAGTGAGAGAGATGGGGAGATAAAGAAAGACAATAAAATGAAAGTGCCCAATTGATGAATGGACAAGATTCTGCATGCTGCTTATCTTTTATTCCGCTGAGATTCAGATGAACTGACTGTGCATTTAAGCACATTAATGAAACACCTCTGTGCAAATGAGAGCGAGTGTGTGTGTTTGATAAATATTAAACTGTCTCCTTCTATTAGTTTTTACACCTCAGCAGCAGCACTGGTTAAATGTTTTCACTGTCTTCGAGAAAATGTTAATTTCCTGCCTCACGCAACGTTAATATGAAAAACCACAGCTGTCTACGTACATATCAGTGTTTCACTAATGTTACAGTGTCATCATGATTAAAACAACAAAACAAATAAATCAAGAAAAATATGCAGTTTTACAGAAGAATACAGGAAGCTGTTGTTTTATCTGCAGGAAGAAAACTGTAAATTAAAGGTATAGTTCACCCAAAACTAAGAATTCTGCCATCATTTACATCGTTCACAAACCTGTTTGAGTTTCTCTTATTCTGTTGAACACAAAAGAAGATATTTTGAAAAATCTTAGAAACCAGAAACCATTGACTTTCACAGTATTTGTTTTTCATACTATGGGTGTCGATGGTTACAGGTTTCCAACATTCTCTAAAATATCTTAACAGAATAAAGAAACTCATAATGGTTTGGGCCCAATTGGGGTTAGTAAATAGTGGGTAAAACTTTCATTATTGGGTAAACTGTCCCTTTAAGATGATGTCAACAATGAACATTTTAAACATGCCCCAAATCTTCATTAACCACAAAATCCAAAGAAAAACACTTTTAGCACCATATTTATATTAACTTTAGATATTTTATATAGTCATT